TATACATATAAATTACAGTGGAATTGAGAAACATAAGTTTAATGGGGGAGCAGTACAACCTGGGTTGTACAGTAATAAGGTTGAACAAGAGGACAGAGCTGTCAGGATAATGTCTATGTTTAATGCAATGGTAATTACTTATTTATTTACATGATAATTTCCGATAAAACGGTTTTGATGGTACAATAAAAGCAGGTACTGTAAATATAGTAAGTGTTACAAGAAATATTAATACTTCGACAATAGATATTTTTTTTAGAGATGATTTAAAGGAAGGGAGTGTAGTCTTTGCTTGGATGTGTGGGGGTAAGTTGTTCCACACCTTCACACCATGATATTTTAAGGAGGTCTGGGACTGAGAGGAGCGCATGGGAGGAGGTCTTAGTAGCTCTGATTATTCCGGAACTGGAAATAATTATTGTCAAGCAAGTGATTGATAGATTTGTAGACAAAGAGGGCACAGCAGTAAGTGCTAATATCCTCGAATTTAAAAAATTTCAATACAGCAAATTTTTCGTTTGTGTGATCTGTTTTTTTTTCAAGTAGGTCATTGTCCGTACAACTCTCTTTTGTGCAGTAACCAGAGATTGTGTTTTTGAAGAGCCAGAGGCCCCCCATAGTGTGTGACACTAGATTTCTTTCATTGCTGTGAGAGTGAGTGACTGTCGAGTGTGATACATGATACCGCACTGTTTATTGAATTTACTGTGAATGGCTTGTATGTGGTTTCTCCAGTTAAGTTTTTCATCAACAATAACACTGAGGAATTTAGTATTTTGTTCGCATTTTAGGACTATATTACTAAGGTACAGGGGGTTCAAGTCTGGAGGTAAGTTTTTTCTTCTGTGAAAGATCGTGTAGTGGGTTTTCTCATGGTTTAAGGTCAGTTTATTACGTATTACCCAGGTCCCGACTTTAGTTAATTCAGTGTTCATGGTTCTCATCAAGGAATGGAGGTCTGAGTTGCTGGCATAGAGATTACTATCGTCTGCAAATAAGTTGTATTTTATGAGTGAGCTGGCGTGGACTATGTCGTTTATGTACAACAAAAACAGTACTGGACCGAGAATGGAACCTTGGGGGACTCCATACAAGGTTGGCGAGGAGTCAGATTGGTGGTTATTATAACAGACATACTGCATCCTGTTGGACAGATATGAGGTAAACCAATTGTGGGACAGGCCCCTAACGCCGTAATGTTCAAGCTTCGAAAGGAGGACGGTATGGTCGACCGTATCGGAGGCTTTAGAGAGGTCCAAGAATATACCGACTGTGAACTGTCTGTCATCAAAGGAATTTAAGATGCCATTAGTAAAAGACAGCAGAGCACTCTCAGTCGACCTTCTAGCTCTAAATCCAAACTGGGAGTCTGTAAAGATGTTATTGGCATTGCAGAAGGAATGTAGTCTATTACATGCTAACTTTTCCAGTATCTTACTTAAGGCTAGGAGGACTGATATGGGGCGGTAATTCTTGAAGAGACCTTTGTCCCCAGATTTTTTATATGCCGGGTGGACTTTAACAATTTTCAGTATATTAGGAAAGACACTACTAGTGAAGGAGGAGTTACAAATGTGGAGGAGAACAGGTAGTAATAAGTGGGCCACGCACCACCACCACCGCAAACAAAAGATTAGCTTATAAGAAAGTGCGACGTAACTAGTCATGTTAAGTCAGGTAAAAAATATGAGACCCACTAATCATCTATCCTACATCAACCTTTTAAAGTATTTAAAAGGGCTAAAAAAATCCTTTTATTCTACTCAAACTAGACACGGGCTAGTGTGGGGGGGGTTGAGGAGGGTAGGAGTGTTAGGTGGCAACGGGGATGGGAGACGAGGACTGACAATGCTAACTGTAGCAAGTGGAAGTGTGGGAGGCTGTAAGGGAATAATACTCAAAATACTGGTATAACTAACAAAAGTTAAAAACTTTGGTGTGTATTATTTCTTTTAGAATCCTGGCCGGACTGTGATCAGGACATCTTGAATCTTGGGGTTGTGGGTGAAGATAACTTTTGGTTCATAACGAAGATCAATCCTCTTGCCAGGTGGTTGAGAGAAGGTAAGGCTCTGGAATACCGTAGTGGAAAAGATGAACAACTCCATGCGCGCCAGAGCCTCTCCCAGACAAGAGCGTTTACCTGGCAGAAATATTTGCATGTGAAAATAATATAGATCATGCTTATTGGTTGTATTGGATTGGAAATTTGGAATATTAGCTAAAACAAAGACGATAAATCCAGCTTCTAAGAGTAACTGACACGGACATCTTCCACTCGAAGGTTGCTTTTACATATGCCAGCGAACACACCTAAACGGCCAGTTTCCCCAGTCATTACAGTATTTACTCTTAGGGCAGTGCACAATACTTCTGAGAGGTGAACATGCTACACTTCTAGCTTGTGCCCTCAACTCCCGAACATGTACTACAATACTCGTTGACGTTATAATGTTATTATTGAGTTTCAACAACTACATGCAAGGCCTGTAAGATCATAACTAAATTGGTAGAAGGATCTACTGTCTTTAATGAGCTCAAACGTCATAGCTTCTCGGAGGTATTGAGAATATTTACTGATCTCAACTTTAGCTGGTGTAATGACTGGTCGATGGACTTAAAGCTATGTATACTTTGTTAACGAGCTTAGATGTAGGTCAGCATGTACCGTCTCTACATGCTACGAAGACTTAGGTCACTTGGGACACCCACGCCAGAGCTGAGGACCATCTACAATGCCTTTATTCTCCCCAAACTAACGTATGCGTCACCAGCCTGGTCGTCTTCTCTCAACTCCACCCAACAACGTCAGCTAGAGAAGGTACAGAAAAGGGCCTGCAGAATCATGCTCGGCGCAGAATACTCCGGCTACACCAACGCTCTCTCCACCCTGGAAATGCCATCCCTCAGTGACCTCCACCACCAAGCACTGGAAAGGTTTGGCCGTGGACTACTGCACCACCCTCGCCATCGCCACCTCCTGCCACCTGCAGCCCCCCACCCAACTCGCGCAGTCCGCCACTACAACAAAATTCAGCCCATAAGAGCCTGCACCGATAGATATAAGAACAGCACCATCCCATCTATTGTTAAAATAATAGACAACTCCTGATTTATGTACTGCACAGCCCTGTAAATGTATTCAATTCATATTATATCATTATGTCTAAATTAAATGTAAGTCTGTATATTTTCAGCCACCGGCTGCAAATCTATTAATAAACCGTTTATTATTATTATTATTATTATTATTATTTATATTAATATATTCCAGGTACAATCCTAAAAACATGTAAACACCTTGGAAGAAATGTTTAACGTGTCTTTAACGTTTTCCCAACATATGATAATGAAGGTCCTCCTTGTTCTTATCAAAAGTTCACAGGAGACTAGCCAATTTCTCTACTGTGATAGTTGCTGTTGACCTTGATCCTTAGAGAAAGATCAGTTAAGTTGCATTCATTATGGAATACAGATAGCATGAAGTATATTTTGCTTAATTACACAAAGTATAAAACAAAGTATAAGGGTTTCAGCCAATGTGGAAAATTCGAGCAACGGGAGCATCGATACATCACAACGGCATTGGCTCACACAGTGACAAATCTTCGAATACAGAGGTGCCGTAGGTGAATTAAGATTATACTTCACTAAACGTTTAAAGAGTTACTCCAAAGAGCTCTGCTGTACACAAAATGACGACTACTTACAACTTTAGACAAGTTAGTAACATTTACAAGTGAGGAAAGTCTTCATAGCACCAGTTTTCCATAATTGTGTTAACTTACCCACACCGAAAGGTAGAAAACCTTCTTTCTTGGTGGTGAACTTCCCCTGTTGATCGAGCCATCTCTCTGGCAGGAACTTGTCAGGACGGTCCCAGTACCGAAGGTCGTGATGCACGGTCTCTTGTGCTCCCATAACAATAGTGCCCTGTAAAACACCTCCTCATAATATTATTCCATGAAATAAGTTACAACTTATATTGTATATAATGATTCATAGAAAAATATTTCACCAGTTGTTGACAACAACGAGTAAGATGTCGATGCTTCAAAGCATGAGGCCCAAGTGATAATTTACAACTGAGGAATATAATAGAGAAGGGCTACCAACCTTAGGGATGTAATAGCCGCCCAGCTGAGTGTCTCTGGTAGCTACATGCTGGGCCCCTGTAGCTGCTAGTGACGACTTACGTAGGGTCTCGTGTATGACCGCCTCCGTGTAGGGCATTCTATACAGCGACACCCATGTAAATGTTAGTATTAGCAAGACGTAATGAAACTGGAGAAAATCTTTTCCAATAATCAAATTACAAAAGTGTACAATTCAAGACTGTCTCTAAGGCTTCTACGTTTTTCTTCTAGGAAACAGAGAAAAGGAATTGACAAGTTTAGGGAAGTGGTTGATATGTAAATTTTTAATGTAGTTATCTTTACATTCTTCTTTTCTCGGCAAGAAAACCATGCAAAAATGAAGACGGAAGTAATTTTTAAAATCTTTCGAGTCATCACATTACTTCATTCACTCAACATCTTCCTGTGTGCCTCTAATCTGTTCAACAAGTATCCCCTTGATTTATTAAGCTTAATATCTCAAATTTCTTCTAACTCCACTCCTATGATCAGTGAACCGCAAGTTCTGTGGATAAAACCTAGATCTTCATGCTAAGACATTTAACAAACATGTTCCACTTAGTTGTTAACACACCGGGATAGCAACTGTTACTCCCGTGGCTGGATGCTGTTACACTTGGTACACCATTGAACAAGGTTTTGCCCTGCGGTCTTTAGTTCACAGTATATTACTTGTGTACCAATACTGAATATATGAAGAAAAACGTATATTATTTACATAGCCGGTACATATTTGTGGATGACTGCAAATATTTCCCCCCATCCAACAGGGTAATTTTTTACCTAAATCCATAAAGGAGTTAATAGGTAGTACGCTGATGATTCTACTCTTCACTCTTCACATTTTCCCCTTCCCCTGTAACACAAACTAGATCTGTTTCTAGAGCTGATATTAGATATTATTACAGTTCTATCATTTCGGATCTGTGCAGCATCTCCGAATGGGAGGGGGGGGGGGTGGGGGGGTAGAAACTTGGTTAAATTCAATAGTAATAAAACACAGTATTTACCAATTACTATTTCTAAATTAGATGATCTCCCACCAATCTCATTTCAGGATGCTATCATTCTGCCAAATTCTAAAATATATATGCTTGGCCTCACTGTTTCTTCTAATATGCCATAGTAGCCACACATCCTCAACACTGCTAAAGCTGCCTCCCAAAAGCTGGGAATGCTGTACAGATGCCGTAGGTACTTCACTCCTGAGCAGTTGCTTCAAGTATATACTGCAAGGGATTCATTCATCCTAACTTGAAGTACTGCTCTCATACCTGGGGGGGCTATTCTTTTGTCCAACTGTTAGATAGGGTGGAATCAAAGGCATTTTGTTTTATTCACTCTCCTCCTTTAGTTGACAATCTTTCTTCCCTTTCTCTTCTCCGCTATGTTGTTTCACTCTCTCTCTTTTACAGGTACTTTAACGGGCAATGTTCGGTGGATTTGGCATCCATTGTACCGCTGGCAAGTCCTTGGGCTCGTAACACACGTCATGCCCGAGGTGCCAACCATTTTTCTGTGGATGTCGGTCACACTAGAGCAGTGATTCCCAAACTTTGCAACATGACGTTTCCTTTTACTTTTTGCGAAGTCCTTACGCCATTTCCCTTACATAAGCAAAATTAATTAAAAAATCATTACAAGAGAAGAAATCCAGACTAAAACACACAGTTTGAGATCAATCTTAACATACCGTAACAGAAGATGAGGGAGGATCGGTGGCTGGTAGTGTTGTGTGAGTAGTGTGTGAGTCAGTATGGTATCCATGACATGTACAAGACACGTAAGGAGAGAGATATGAAATGATAGAAAACGGATAGGGGTGACTGCTATACTTTGGTTTTGCGCGGCTGTGTGGAAGATTCAAACGGAGAGAGTTACTCCTGAAAGACTTTTTTCATTATATTCTTTTTGAGCAAAAAATTTGCAAATTTTGGCAGATGGCTTCACGCCTCCCCTGTATCCACCTTACGCCCCCTAGTTTGGGAACCACTGCACTAGAATACATCCCCTCTTTCGTCACACAACCAAACTGTGGAATGCTCTACCTTCTTCTGTGTTTCCACGTTCATACAATTTGTCTCATTTTAAAAAGCTGGTTTTCCGGCATCTTCGTGGTGTAGAGTAATATAACCTTTTCCTTTTCTATTTTTAATTTCTTTTTATTGTTATTGTTTCGCCCCCCCCCAAGCCCCGGTGTGGGTCGATGACCTGTGCCCGGGTGGGCTATTCCCCGTAAAAAAAGAAAAAGTGGCATCATAAGAAATTGTGTCCAAGTCCCAGGTTGTTGATCTGACTGCCTTTTTGCCTTATTTACACACAATTGCAGGGTATCCATGATTTCTTTTACTTTGACAACACAACATATATGTACATATATCGTTTCTCGTTTCTCTGTATTATTATTTTTTTCTGTATTCATCCCCCCCCCCCAAGTCTTCGATGCGGGTCGGTGACCTGTGCCCGGTAGGCTAATCCCCTTAAATACATATATATATATATATATATATATATATATATATATATATATATATATATATATATATATATATATATATATATATTTATATATATATATATATATATATATATATATATATATATATATATATATATATTTATATATTTATATATTTATATATTTATATGCTTCAGGAATATATAACGAACGAGAGTGAAAGGGAAGAAGACATGATGACTTAAAACTCTTAAGAGATGAAGATTAGATTAACAGAACAGTATGCATCATTTATAGTAGGAGGTATAACAAGGAGGAGGAGGCATCACCTGAGCTTGTTGTCGAGGGTTGCCAGGGTGCCCTTAGGGAGGACCTCATCTATCTCTGCCTGCATCTTCTGCTGTACCTCCGGGTAGGTGGCCAGGTAGTAGAACAACCAGGTGAGAGTGTTAGTCGTAGTCTCACTCCCAGCCAAGAAGAGATCGAGGACTAAGATCGCCAAATCCTTCTCTAGAGTTTTGAAAAAAGTACACTTGAAAATCCTTATGCCTTATACAGGAGAGATTTGAAGTAAATTTTAATATTTTGAAGAAAAAAATACAAGACATAAAACTTTGACGAGTAGGTTGCTGTGCGTCTCAATTATCTTGTGTCTAAATTGGCCAAAATATGATGTAAATACAGGAAAAATGTAATTTTGTTGTATTTATAGATCTTAGACACCTTCACAGACAGGGATAATTTTGTTTTTTTTCTGATTTTTATTAAACAATGCTAGAAATGCTGGATATCACTTTGCCCTGCATTATCAAAGTAAGAATCAGAAGTACACTGTGTAATGTATATGTATTTCCCAGTGACTTAATTTTTTAATTTTACTGTGATAAAATTTAAAAAAAATGGTTAATTTAAAATTCAAGTAAATTCAGGGAACACCTGTTCATGCATCTCAAAACAGAAATGAAACTCCACTGTTGAGTCAGTGTCGTTTGCTCCTCCTCCCTCACAGCCAACAATGAAACTTCTTTTAATTTTTCTCGCTGATAGTTATTGCAAAGTACATTTTCCAAGTCTTAGTAGAACTAATCTTTGCAATTTTCTGGCACATTCTACGTCACCGGACTTGATTCTTAGACTTGTATTCCATGAGCTTGACAAAAATATCCTCAACGAATTGTTAGGAAGGAGAGATGTACGAATATAGTAATTCTAAGAAGTACAATAAATGTAGCATCAACTTCTATTCAGAAATAATGAGAAATGAATCTATTGCCACTGATGAGAAGCATAAAGCTCTCGTGTAAAAGCACATTAATACAGAATATCAACAGAAGGGCGTTGTCCTGAGGTCAGTACCTGGACATGACTACATCCAATTCCCTATCTCCTACTCGGTAATCATGCTAAGAGACTGGACAGTCTGTAACAAAAGAAAACAAAACAGATATCCTCAACTACGTAGAAAATAACATCTAGGTAAAGGCGTTGGTCATAATTATCCTCATCTATAAGCATGTGCTGCAGCTCAAGTTTGTTGAGGCAGACATGGGCGAAAAGCTAAGTAAAATGGGATTTGAGGTGTTACAGTGAACTGCCTTAAGCCCAGGAAAAGAAGAGAAACGCTCAGATGAAACCAGGTATCATATTCTGTTGCACCAGTGAGCCTGAAGACTCAGCCCATAACCTGATGGTACTGAAGGCAGGGTTCAGGCTGTTGACATAAAAGTCTCAATAGCGAGTGTTGCAAAACGTAAGTCTGAACCTGATGGAGGTGGACAGGGGTTCATGGAAAGAGTATGAACATGAAGGTCTTGGAGAAGATGATCTGAGGACACTCACCACTGAAGGTATTGTTCGGGTCATCCGCCTTCTCCTCCATCATCATCAGGTAACCATCTATCAGGTCCCGGGGGTCATCACGGTCCAGAGTGGCTCGGTGCTCCTCGATCTCCTTCTGCGGTAAAGTAATGAAGACTCTCACCCCCTTTCATGACAAGAACTTTAGCATGATAACTTTAATGTGTCGGACCGAACTATGAATATTTCTATTTAGCGACAGCCAAAGCTGAAAATATCACTAGTGCATAAAAAAAATGCTAAGGGAACTGTGTACCAGACAGTGTTGCACAAACATGAGTTTTCTTAGATATTCAGTCAGTCATTCAGTCAGGATAACTGTTCATTGAACAAATTATTATCTGACGTTTTCTTAAAGAAATATAACCAATATAACAAATATATTGAATTATGAAAAGTAATAAGTATAATTAAAGAGGAAAGGTGATAATAATTCATTAGTACAAAATAATACTGTGCTTATCATTAGAATGAATGTATTTTGCAGAAGTAATTCTTTATGTGTATGTAAGGGAGTGAGTACCAGCCTGTATTGATGATCTCTTTTCAGTAAGAAACAAAGCACTCACATTGAAATAATTAAGGAATTTATGTATGGTCTTCTTCTGTAAGTCAAGGTGGAAGATGCGTCCGGTAAGAGAGCCAGGAAGGAGGTACATTATCCACGGAAAAATGTCTGGGATGGCCAGATGAGCTATGCTCGCCTCCATCTCGCGAATCAAATTTTCAAATTCCAGTAGGCGTGGGTTATCCATTTCAAACTGCTTGCCTGAAAGAAAAGTGTAAATGATATATATATATATATATATATATATATATATATATATATATATATATATATATATATATATATATATATATATATATATATATATATATTTTATTAGCCCAATAGCACACGGACTTCTACATACAATCAACACCTCAACCCGCCAGGATTTGAACCCCCGGCCCACTAGCCCATGACTGACTGGGGAACGCCAACCACTGGACTACCAGGATACTAAAAGCAGTCCTAGACTTTATTATATTTCACACAAAGCCTATTTAACGAGCTTATGGCGCCGTGAACCTCTAATGGGGACTACCCGTATCACGTAGGTGGTCAGAGTAACGTTTTACCAAATCCGGCTTCGAAACACGAGGATCCATATACAGTATATTTCATTAGCCCAACAGCACGTGGGCCGTGGGTTCGAATCCTGGCGGGTTGAGGTGTTGATTGTATATATATATATATATATATATATATATATATATATATATATATATATATATGCGTGAATATACACCTCCTCTGTATAACACCCTGGTTTGTATCTTTCAGTCTGTACTCACCCTGAAGATGAATTACACGAAGCGCTTAAACCTGTCCTTTCCCGGTTAAAGCATATACCTAGATCACGAGCACCTACAGTGATTTACTTGCATATATATATATATATATATATATATATATATATATATATATATATATATATATATATATATATATATATATATATATATATATATATATATATATATATATATATATATATATATGCTGATAACCACAAGGGAACACAAGAAAACAGGAAGATTAAAACCCTGAACATACCAAACAAAAGGAAATTATACACGGCACTAATAAAATCAGTAATGTGCTACCCGCCTGTACCAACCAACTCATTTAATGCAACGAGAATCAAGAAACTGCAAACGGTACAAAATAAAAGCCAAGATCCATATATAACAGTAACAAACGAAGAACGCAGTAAACGTAGACATTTACGTCCATACTAAAAGAACATAGGAACAAGTACGAGAGTTAGACTTAGAAACTGTAGTTAACTGGCTCGACAACGAACCAGTAAGAAGAGCAAGAGAAGAACACGTTTGGTTCAGATTAAGCAGAATAAGAGTCAACAATCCACCACCAATACCAAAATACTGTACATCTAAAAATTATCAATTTCATGCAAAACCAAAAAGAACTGTATAGCCAATAAATACTGTACCATCAAGTCAAGCATCAATCTTTCAATTAAACCAAAAAGATAGGACCACCTCCTTGTGAACAAAAGTAGCTAGTTGGATCCTACACCTCTTCTAAGAAATTAAACCTCCCTACTATAAAAAAATAGACAAATTTTTCATTAAAAAGATGAGCCTTGGCCTCTCCAACACTTGTGTTCTTGCCTCTTCCTTCCACTCTTATTAAAACAAAAGATACGTTTCTCAGCCAGCTCCACAAGAACCTGGCTAGAGGTCGTCACCCCTTCCTTGGAACAATGGCTACTGCAAAAATATACATATTTTTTAACTAAATGAAAAAGGCTTGAGAGTTAGAACCTAATCACGCAAAATGTAAGTTCAAATATAATTATTATAACCTCAGCATATCTGGTTGAGCCCGGATACTGTTAATCTCTTACTTTCCTTCAATTTTCCTCCCTCTTTCTCCTTGATCCTAAACCAGTCCCCTCCTTCCCCCAAATTGCCACCAAAGTACTTCCGATCCTAATCCCTGCCCTCCCACTCAGCATTACAAGCAATAGCCCTCTACTTTATCTACAGACGTCAAGTCAAGTCAAGAAGGTCATTCTACTCAACGCACTCCAACGGACAGGACCACCTCTCAACAAGTTCCTCACCACACAGCAACTCCCTTGCACTGAATTGTACATACAATGATACAATACATGTAGAGTTAAGCTATTCTGAGTTTCCTTTCTCACCTCCATCCTAAGTGCGAGATATCCTATAGGTACGTATGTACAGTATGTGAGCCTTACAAAGAGAAAATAGACAAACACAAAGAGAAATTAGACAACTGGCCACATATACCACGCTACACAATAAAAGCTTTAAAAAAAATTGCTATAATAAATAATAAAATTGATAGCATATCATAAAATACAATAGTACATTTTAAGTACAAAAAACAACTCTTTCTACATTCAAACCAGTTGACTGAGATGTCTATGTGAGCGTGTCTGTCGTGACGTCACGTGAGGAAAAAGGCGGGTGAGTCAGCCACGCAGTGCAGCTCACTGCCTTCTCATACGTTCACCTCACTCACACCTCCCCCCCTCCCCACACACTCCTATGCTCTTCCTTTTCTTATTTTATAGTATTATATATATATATATATATATATATATATATATATATATATATATATATATATATATTATTTTTTTTTTCTAAGCCACATTACAGAATTTTACTTTTTACTTTTTTGCTATGTAATAAAAAAAAGTTACATGCTATTTACACACTCAGACTCGAATTATATGTAGATAAAACTTATAATTTATTTTGTATAACTGACCAAATTACAGGAGTATACATAAGTAGCAGACTGTTTACTGTTTATGTAGCATTTCCCCGCCATTACCTGCATTATCTACCATTTCTCTGTGTCACCTACCAATCCTCTTGCCTCCTAAATGCTTCATCCTTAGCCTGTGGTGCTGGTAAGCGTCACTTTTTTTAAAATTATTAATTACATGTATATGTATATAAGGTACATTGTTGCTGTTATTTTCGCGTGGGGTGCGGCTATAAGTCAACAGATACGGATAATGAATTCGGCATTACAGCCCCATATACATACCAGTTATCACGGTATATATATATATATATATATATATATATATATATAATATATATATATATATATATATGCTATATATACTCTTCACTATATATATATATATATATATATATTTAGCTTGTGAACATTTCCAGTGTAATTTCAAACGCCGCGCCATTGGCGATGCTGGAGTTCAAGGTCGTCTGAGGGGCCGCGCTCCAGCTACGTGCACGAAGAGTTTGTGGAACTAAACCTATACGATATTAAATGCCAATTTACCTGAGTTAATAGGGACGCAGATCATGAAATTAAATATCAGTTAGCAGAAGTGAAAATAATTATAGAATCGTTCCCAGTCTAAAAATGTGTTGCTTACATCTAATTAAGCTGGCAAATGTCACCTGGTAAATAAGTCACTCCTGGAAGCGTGAACCAGGGCAAGCGTGGCTGGGGAAGCTTTGTGAGAGGTCAGGACCTGTGTGCTGTGCCCAGGAGAGCCGGATCAAAATGACACGTTTCGTTGTTCCATTTAACACATCGAGTATTAACAAGTAAGTTTTATTCAATCCTCAGAACCAAAAGCTTGATAGGGCGGTAAAGGGAACAAGCGGTGATGTGAGACAATAGCTAACAGCCCGGGTTTCAGGGTTCTGCGGTATGATAACATCCACTGGCGGGATAGAGATGGTCTGGTGAGCTGTGCTGACCGTCACACAACCTGAGTTTGAGCCACCTGGTGAGTATGGTCTGGATATATTGCTTCAGGAATGACGAATAGCTTGGGGTCCTCAGCTCTCCTCCTACTCCAGCTCCTGCAATACATATATCTTCAAACACTTCAGGTAGAAAATCTTTACTAACGGGCTAAACTTCCATACTCTTTCATCTGATTGGCTCCTCCCTTCCGTTTTCATGGATGTACTGGGGGTAGGTAGAGCCAGCTGAGTGATACAGGTTTACACACTGGGACCAAGGTCAGTGTAGACTTTAGAATTTTGTATTCTGCTAAGGTTGAGAAAGGCTGGTTTGGGCCTTTAAACTTCACGGGAACCTGTTGGTTGTGCCCTAAAAAATACTAAGGAGTGCAGGTGGAATCTATATGTGTTAGGTTGGGCACATAGTTACCATTGTTGGTGGACTCGGTAACTTCTTAATAATAGTGATAATATTTTTGTGTGTAGTTAATTTCAGTTACTGATGTTGTCTGGCTGGGTGAAGTTAACATTTCTTAAATAATTTTGATAGTATTGTTGTTTAATGTTGTGTCACTAATTGATGCCAGAGAATGAGGGAACTGTTTTTCAGATAAGTTTTCTCCCTAGTGTTGCAAGTGATACTGTGATTTAGTTCCTTTAATGCATTTAATATTTCTTTATAATTTCAATCTCAGGTATAACCTTTGTTCCCCAGAGTAGTGTTAAAGTTAGGTTAGGAGGTGTGCATCTGTTGGGGTAATATAATTTTGTTGAGTGCCCTGAAGGCCTATTCTAAGAATTGAGACCCAATAAGTTGTTATTTTTTTATACCATTTTCTCTCAGTGCTTGATATAATTTTTGTTGACTGCACTTAAGGCCTGCATCTGTTGATTAGCAACAATTATATTGAGTGTCCGCCCCAGGCCTATTCATGGTGGAATTAATAATTTCTTATTTTATACCACTTCGCAGTGGTGGATATTATTTTGTGAAAACTCTTAAGGCCTGTTTCATGTGTGCATGCAACATTTCTGTCTTCAAACTTATTGTTTGTCTAATGAGGCATTGCCTGAGTTTCTAATAATATCAATATCATGTATAACTTTTATTCCCAGAGTAGTGTTTTTAAGTTCAGGTTAAGAGGTGCGCATATTGGTGTACCATTATTGGATTGTGTCTGTAGTGGTGGAGGGAATATAAAGTGTCTAGAATTTTTACAGTGTGTCTCATTCATCCCAGTCACAGACATATCCTTCCACAGGTCACGGACAATTCATTTGTTATTCAATTTAAGTGTTCTTGTGCTGGTTCATTGATTTTTTTACTGCTCAAAGGGAAGCGCTTCACGCAATTCCATCCTAATAATTAATATACCCCCAAGTCAAGTGAGAATTAAAAGTCTAGTAAATTTCCGACCGGTTACATATATATATGTTTGTTCATTTGAGGGAA